AGGGGAGGGAGGAAGCAGGCTTTTGTACTTCTGAAGTACAGAACTACGAGAAATATCAAGAAGCACTACGAAGTACTACAAAGTACCAAGAAGTATTGAGAAGTATACGGCAGTATCGAGAAGTATCATGAGTGATATGAAAGTACCGTGAAGTGTACTAATTTTTACAGTAAGATGAGACAGTTTTTGTTAGCTGAATATATTTATTCAACAGCAAAAATAAACAAAACCATAAGAAAATAAGTAACATTCAGGTTAATTTTTTCTATTTCTTTTTCATGAGAGATTATTTAACGGTGTGGCCACACGATACGGAATTTCATTTTTTCGCGTTGCAATATCTGTAACTTCTCAGAAATAAAAGCAAACTGCCCAACATTTTTATCGCATATAGATATCGTTGAGATCTATCACCAGTAAAACTTTTATTAATTTCTCTTTAGTCACAGCAAAGTTATTCAACAAATACTGGCCGTTACGTAATTTCAAAAAATGGAATTTTTTTTAGGGTAGCTAAAAGTTAAGCATTTTTCTACGAAACAAAGCAATATACAAATAAATGTTACATGCAAAAGTGGTTCAGCTTCTAACAGGCTATTAAAATATAGGATCATTCCTATCGAGCCAAGTTTTGTAAAATAAAAGATTTGGAATATCATCCGTTACGAAATTTCACTTCGTTACAGAATTTCAGCTTTTTTTCGAAGATTCTAATTTGAACCCAAAAGAAAGAATTAAAGTAAACAATAATCGTATATTCTTTCTCAACATTAGATTTTGCACCGAATGACTTGTTTTTCAACAGAATTCAACAAAAGAACTTTTCAACATTTTTGACCTCAGAAATTTTCGAGAAAAATCGAAGACAGAGTTTGGATTATCTAAATACTTCACTTTATCCAGAATTCGATGCTGATTCCGAATATGACCAAATACGTGCATATCTCTGAACAGAATCAGTGATAAACTCTGGATACTGTAAAAACACTCGACATTTCATATGCATACGAAATTCCATAACGCGGTATTTGTACAAAACGAGTGTGAATCTTGAATGAAGCTGCAATTAAAATGGGTACTTTTCGCAGAGCTTGTTGAGCCCTATCTAAAGACGTTATCTTTGTTGCAAACATTAGCGACATAAGCGGGCAAAATACACAATTAGCGAGTTTCGTTACAGAATTTCGTCAAAAACAGAGATAGTTTTTAAATCCATTATTTTCGTTCGTAGCCAAGTATGATCTAATCGAATGGCCATGTCTTTAAAAAACACTTTGTATCCGATCGATCAATAACTGACTGAAGAAATTTTTCTTTTGGTGATCGTTCGTTGCGCGACTATGTATTTCACTACCCTCTGTTACTCAAATTTTCGAGTTGTTTATTCCAAGGAACACCCTACTCATTCAGAGTACTCAATGATACTTAGGAATAAAAATTCCCGCATTTCAAACACTATCCCCAACCTCTTTCAAATGGTAGGCTCAGCCTTCTGCTTGTTTGATTTCGAACCTTCTCCATGCATGGGCGATCGATGCGTGGCCATACCTATAAGTTCATTTCGTATATCATTATTACATTACCGGTTTTGTTACCATGCAATGACTGTGATTTTTTTAAAAAGAATATAAGCATTTATTTCTGTTTAATGTTCAGCATTAGTCCTTTTTTTAATCATAGTTATAATAAGTATCAGTTCTCTTTCTGTGTGTATTTTTTATTGTGTTGTGGTCGTTTTATGAGAAAGAGAAAAGCCGCAATTTTTTTCTCTTTGAAAACATTAGTGCAAAAGAAAAAATGTAAAAAGAAGAATAGTGCTTTGTTTTCAACTGTAAGTCCTACTTTCGTTATTTGTTTAATTTTTTAAAATAAAAAGCTACATGACAAGGAGGAACTGACTATAGCTTTCTTTTATCTCTGGAGTGAAAGACATACCTAAAAACAAAATCTAATCACATATACATGTCTAGAAATATGAAGGGGTGTGGCAAAGTACAAAGAAGTACGAAGGAGTGTAAAGAAGTACAAGAAGTCTAGGGAAATGTGAAGAAGCATAAAAAAGTACAGAAGTATCAAGAAGTATCGAGAAGTATGAAGAAGTACGATGAAGTGTCAGAAGTATAGGAAAATATGCAGAAGTGCGAAGAAGTATAGAAGTACAGAAATCTGTTTTTCCCTCTTGCGCAATACTCTATTCTTTTTTGAAATAGTTATTGCAGTTTGGTTTTCAATTTATTCTATGCCATTCGAAATACTTTCGTGCTTTGGCTAAGCTCCCTACTGATGAAAAGACTACAATCAGTATATCCACCAATAAGTGCTAGTTTTTCATAGGTGTCGTTATATGAACTCACAGACTGATGTCCAAAAGAAAACTTTATGAGCATATTTTATGTATCAAGCAAAGCTCCTTTTCTGAAAAAGACTTGATTTTTGACCAATTAAATCCACATAATGTCTAAAAATTTTTATATATTGCGCAAAAAGTACCTGTGCTACAAACTGAAAGATCGAATACTTTAAGTGACACAGTTACTTAAATTGAATATCAACCAAAAGGAAAAAAAGTAAGACCCCATACTTCGGAATACAATTGGAGTACAGTGGAGTACGTACTCAGTGTGCTCCACTGTACTCCATCTGTACTTCACCTGTACTTCACCTAGACTCTTGCTATACTCCACTTATACTCTATTGTACTCAACTTGTATTTCACCTGTACTCTGAAGTACGAAGTCTCGCTTTTCTCCCCTTGATATGAACTTTTACTCCACGTTGCTAATGAAAATCGAACCAAAAGAACTTCTTACAATAGTTTTCACATATAACCTGAGAAATATAAATCGGGAATTCTCTGTCAGAGAGAATAGGCAGCGAATACGTTGCGAATGAGGCAGCGATGCATACACTTTATAAGTTCAGACCGTCTCAAACGTATTTTCTCCAAGGAAGAAAAAAAACGAGACCCCGTACTTCAGAGTACAGGTAGAGTACCACTGGAGTACAACAGAGTATAGGTGAACTACAGCGAGAGTTTAGTTTGAGCACAGTGGAGTAAAACTTAAGTACAACTGGAGTATAGTGGATTAGAGGTGGAGTATAGTGAGTACGTACTCCGCGTACTCCAGCTGTACTCAAGCTTCACTCCACTGTACTCCACCTGTATTCCGATGTACAGAGTCTCGCTTTTTTCTCCTTGATTTTCTCTCTGTTCCAAGCACAGTCGCACTCTACTAAAACACTTCTCAAACATATTCTGACCACTCGATATATTCATCAAGCATGTTTGTAATTTGCATCTTTTGGAGCACAATTGGAACATGCCGTCTACCATTCACTTCATATATCATATGCACTTGCTTAGCCAAAAGGACGATTTACGTATACTCTCTCCTCCAAGATCGATTCATTGTTGTCAGACGGATCTCTCCGGCCTAGTTCCAGCATTCATGACAGTATTCACTAGTCATTATTGATTTCCACTGTTGAGACTTCTGTTTTCTCGGATTCCTCTTTACTTCTTACTGGGCCTTTCAAGAAGACGGAACGATCGCTTGGAAGAAAGCGAAAAACCGTCTGTAGTGTTAAATATATGACAAAGTGGTAAACATTTTTGGAATGTACGAAAGTTCATCGCCAAGTTTAAGCTATAGCAGAACACTTCAAACATGTTCTGAACATCGTGTCAAACAGGCTCGCATTCGCTGCTTGTGGGTCAGTGAGTAAGGGTGCAAATCTTCTCTTCACTAGCATCCTTACCCATTCGATCGCTCAATCTGACTTTTCTTGTGAATTAAGAAGTTTTTCCCTAAAGAAGAGTAGATCGACTGGTAGGATAAGAGATGCGTGCGTTTGTGTTAGTGTAGGCAGGAACAGATAATAGGCTTTATATGGCTGTGTGTGTAGGTCTAGATGTGGCACGAGAGAAGATGAACCCTACATCCCACTTCTGTTTTTTACTCTTTTCACGAAGCCGTTGCTAGAATAAATTTTATTTGAATCTTTCACTAGGATGCTCAGTGTTGGAGATTGCACTAAAATTTAAAGTATCATAAAAAATGGAATCAACTTTAATGTGGCTGATTAAGATTTCACAGTAAACATTCTTAATGGAAATAACTGCTGATTACATCCAATAGAACTAAATTGTTTTTCAATATCTTTCCAATCTTTTCCAATTTCTAATGAAAAATACATTTTTCTTAACTTAAGATAGCATAGTTCTATCACTCACACTGAAAGGCATTTTGATGCAGGTCGACGCTGTTAGAAAAAGTCTTTCAAAAACTATGAAAAAAAGAGATAATGTTGAGCGTTTTATTGTGTAGCTCTTAATGTGTAATTCATTAAATTATTAGAAACTTTCAGATCTTGGCATATCTTCTAATGTTTACGAGCGTAAACGAGCATTAGTTATTGGTATCGATAATTACACTCGCAATCCATTGAAATATTGTATTAACGATGCCAACGATTTAAAGGCAGCACTCGAACATATGACATTTGAAGTAACAGCTGGATTCGATTGCAATCAAGATGAATTCCGTAAAACAGTTGAAACATTTGCTAATGGAATCCAGCGTACTGATTTAACATTGTTCTATTTTGCTGGTCATGGCAAACAACTTGACAATAATAATTATCTGTTACCATTGGAATATAATTACAGAGGAAAGCGTGAATGCGAATATATAGCAAATCACAGCATTGATGTTAAATTCGTCATGGATGAGATCGAGAAAAAAAATGGCTGTATTACAGTATTTATATTTGATTGTTGCAGGAACTATGTATCAACTCGAAATATTGACATGCAACTAGGCTTATCACCTATGAATGCACCGCCAGAAACTCTCATTGTATTTTCTTGCGCGCCCGGGAGAGCAACGCTTGATGAAACACGTAATGAAAAAAATGGTATATTTATGGGAAATTTGTTAAAACGAATCGCAACATTGAATACACATATAGAAGACATTTTCATGAATGTTGCTCATGATGTTAAATTACAGACTGGTGGATTTCAGCAACCATATCGGACAAGCTCTCTCACGGAAAAACTTTATTTCGTATCAAATTAGACTACAGACGACCATTCGAGTAATATAATTAACTCATGATTTTTTTGTAACAATATTTCAACGCCAGAATTTATTTGAGTATGGGTGTATACATCCACACCCTTGTTTTTGAAGTAGCATTATGTTCTAAGACCTTCATTTATATTCAAACTCGAATCAAGCAACTCATGATCACGCTCTGTGACGCTTCTACCGCCATGACTCTCACGACCTATGATGATGTAAAGACGTCTGTGATGTTTCCCTAATAATTTTTGTCACAGTCGGGAGTGCGTGCAAATTTCTATCCTATATGCTTTAGCACCTCTCTTAGATCTTGTATGAGAAAGCTATAGCAATCTAAAGATCACCAAATCTCTGATTGATAATACATAGGCATCACTTAGATTTTTGTACAAGAGATCGCCCATCCCTACGTAATAATCTGTTCAACGCACATTTAAGGTGAAAACATGTCAATTTTCTGAAGATTCCTAAAACTTTGTTTTTGCTAATCGTAACATGCTTCATCTGTGTCTAGAGTGTGGATATTAGTCATCTCTTCGCACAAACCCACACCCAATCTCTAGAAAAAGGCTTATGAATGAAACTCCGTTACAGTTATTCAATGAACTTAGCCATGCATTTGAACCAGTTCTCTGCGAATAATTCTGGCTCTTTACTATCATCTAATATGTAATTCTTAACTTACAGTTTTTTTTAATGTTCAATTGAAATTTCAATCAAATACTTAGAGATGAGCACAATGAATCACAAGTAAAATGAAAATGTAGAATAAACAATATAAGTTCATGCAGATCAAAAATACAAAAGAAACAAACAATATAAATGAATAAAGAGATTTGTAGGATTTTCATGCAACTAATTAAATTGGTTAGAGTAATATTTTGGTTACTGATACGAAAGGTTTTTAAACTAAAGACTATACTTGATGTTTAAATCTTATCTGCAAAAATTATGAATGTGAAGCAATCCACAGTTAAAATAAATAATTAAATAATGATTTTATTTTTCAGAGATCAAACAAATAAATTTTATGTGCTCATGCAGATTTTATCATGCAAATTAGGGTTAGTTTTAGCTTTCAGCCCCGACAAAAGTTATAATCGTAAGCCATATATTTTTATTATGTTGCTTAAAAGGTTTTGTATTAGTTGAAAAGATAAAAATCTGCTCATAGAAAATGGACACGAGCAACAAAAATGTGCATAAAAGTTTACTGGACTAAATGGAAGTCAAGTCGAAATTGAATATATTTTGCAATATAAATTCTTTGTTTCATTCATTCTTATACTTTAATTCAAGTAATACTGCTGTCGAGTCAATAGGAAACAATTGATGGGCATCATCTATCGATACATCGAAATCGGTTTGTGCTCGATCCTCATTCAATACTATTAACTCACCCATGTTCATATCGTCTTCTGATATATGTAATTTCTCAAGTGTTTCTTTACGGGTGTGAGTGTATGTTTGGATGTGAGATTTCGATTGTGAGTGTATTCTGGATGTGAGTATGCTGTGGGATGGGTGTAGAGTGGGTGTGGGAATGCGTGTGTGTGTGGATGTGAATGAAGAGAATATTCACACCCACACCTAGCCACACGCACACCCATATCCACACCTACACTCAACCCCACACACACATCGAGCGTCACACCCACACCCTAATAAAATCAGAGTCATTTTGTTTAATATAACTCTTGATGTCGTCTTCAGTATCAAATATTGTTATATAATCAAGCAAATTTTTAAATTTAATTTGAAATTCAACTAATGGTGCCAAATCTTGACTGAAAATAATCAGTGAATATATATCAAGATTTCTAGTTCGTCTTAATGACTGTCGTTTGCTATTTATTGATAAATCTTGATCGATATACTGTTCATTCTGAATCTGGCAAACACATCGTCTACGAATTTTTAACAGCTATATTTTATCAAAATAAATACTGGAATTTTATTATAACGCGTACAAACAGGAAAAGATTTCAAAATACAGCATAATGAACACAAGGTTTTATATATTCAGATTTGAAAAACAAGTAACGCTCGTCTGTGGACTCACACAGCTCTTTCTCATAGAAGCGCTGTTTTTGGACTAACAGTTTGTTATTTATTTATTTGCACCATTACAGAAAGGCAAGTGGACACATTCTCGCTATGTTCTTTTGTCAAACTCATTCAAAAATCGACCTTCCGTTCTGATTCCACATTTTCAATTATCTTTAGTCAAATTTTTCAGATAATTAACTCTTTTTTTTCTACGTGTTGTTGTCGAATCAATCAGTATAAAGCGAAGATACAATCATCATCAAACACAATTTTTTTTTGCTGAACTCTTCTCCAGGAGAAAGAGAACGATTCACATTGTTTAATACACAAGTAGCTCATTGCTGAGAAATACATAAAGGAAAGAAAATTGTATTTATTCAGACGGTATGTATCAATAAGGCCGAAAGAAAAAATAGTGAAAATTAATATTTAGCTAAAAAGATCGAAAATGTTCCAGATATCGCTAAGTGACACTTAATCCTTCAGTTCTGTAGTAGTATCTATTTGAAGATGGAGATCCGCATCGATAGTTCATAGTTCCCGCTAGGTTAATATTCTATCTTCACATCTTATACCAGCACTCTACCCTCTCCTAACTGACAACATACACTCATGCGCTGACTTTTTGGTGGTACCTACTCACAGGAGTGCTCCGAACTGGAGTTAATCCCCGCCTCAATCGCGATATTTTCGTTTTTTTCAGCAAATCTCCAACATTTTCTTCATCTTTTTGCTGGATAATTCTCAAAAAGTCCCTCAAGCTCTCATAAATCCGATTGATTTCACCGAAAATTTTTCAATCAGCTCTCTAAGTGGTCAAAGCCACTGTTCCCACTCTTGGCCACTTGGGAATATCCTGTTTATGCATCTATAACATTTGTATATGTAGTCAAATATCTTCATCTGGCTAGTCGAAAATATTAAAATAAAGCTTTTGGACATTCTCATATGATCGATGTTCTATTTTCTTGCTGTAAATCTTTCGACCTTTTTTGATTCGTCATTTTTTCTTCGTCATTTCTTTTTTTTGCTGTTCTTTCATTCACTATTTTTTCTTTCGGTCAATTCAATACCATTCATTCAGACACGATATGGGTAACGAGAAATGGCCGCTACACTTCATTGTTCTGTATAACTTATTTTCGTCAAGGTTGACCTTGACGATGTGTGTTTCTTTTTTTTTTTTTCTGTTCGTTCTATATGAGGATATGTTCGTGAA